GGGGGGGTTTGCTGATGCTTACCTCTCTCTGACGTCTCACCCAGCTCACTGTTGTCACTGGTTGCCAGGAGCTTGGCAGGACAAAACTGCGGTTTTGCTTGCACTTGATTGGATGATGAAAGTCAGCAGATCTTCACCTCATTTACTAAACTAAGGGAAAACTGTCTTGCAAAGTCCTATTTGCCTTTAGTAAATCACCCCATAATGTGTATATGTAAGTAAAAAGAATAGTTGACTTTAAAACATTTGTATTAATTTGCAAGTAAAATGAGTCATATGTGGCAATCCATTGTGGACACTAACACTATGTAGGGAAAATGTAATACATCAGTAACATTCATTACATAAGCAGAAAGGCAGAGAGTATTGAAAATGAAATACATGGCACACAGTCAGTAATTCAATAGGGCTCACATGCAGGGCAAAGGCATTTCATGCTGCTGGACTTTTACTCCATGTGCTGAGAAGACTGGCTGTGTACTGAAAAGCAGCCCCCTCCTAGTCCTCATTTACATGCATAACTGGCCTAGTAGGTGTAAAAATAGACAGGCCGTGCCTGAATTGGAAATGGTCACTGTGTGATGTCTGCAGTTGTTAGAGATGAATTCCACAAGTGACTCTAGTATGCAAAGAGATAGACTGCACGGGAGAACTTGTAGACCACAGCGTGAAGAAGAAGCATCGTTTGTCTGGATTGCACGTGGATGACTGACACGGCTGATAACCTCATAGCTTAGGGCAGGATAGTTATGGGCAATGCAGCACTCTGCCAAACCTGTCACACTGGAAAATCAATTGGTCATGTTGGGAATATGACAGAGCTGGAGAAAATTCTTGACTACTATGGATACAACAGTGAAGGAAGTTCAGAGCAGGATGCAGTGGTAAGTGCATGTTTATGTAGAGGGAACCGCTGTAATTATCAACTTGATCATGAATAGCTGAATAGAAAGAGATAGATAGATAGATAGATAGATAGATAGATAGATAGATAGATATTAAACAGATACACAAGCATTATTTAGGTGCCGGTGATTGGTTAGACATGGCTTTTTCATGGATGCTGTAAAGAATGCAACGAGTATGTATTTTTTGCAGAACTCTCATACCTTATCCTGAAAACCTTTGGAGAAGGTAGAGCCCCCCTATAGGCCAGGTAAAATTATGGCAAACAAATACAATGGACATTCATCCAGAGGTTCATTCTTGCCTTTGAAGTATATGTGTACTACAGTGTGTAAAGTTGTTGAAGTAGATTTGTGTGTGTGATATTATGTTTTCATTAGTTGTACCTTTGCTATGTTGAATATAAAAAGGATCACCCTTCGTGACACATGTTTTGGGGCATGATGAATATTATTAATCATGTATGTTATTCAGTATGCAAAACTATATCCGTTTAACACTATAGTATTTGTCCTTTTATATATTTTAGATAATCTGATTCAAATTTACCAAACTGTAAATCAACTATAAATAAATAAACTGTACGTAAATAAAAGGAAAATAATATTTTCCAAGCAACAGTAGTTGGTGAAAAATGTTCAATTGTAATTGCAGTTTTTATTTTTTCCATATTCTGGAGTTTTTACAATTAACTATGGCTTGCATATTTATATTTTGTGATTATTGACATTTTTTTAAATCTTTCTGATTTAGTAACATTACTTTTGTAGGGATTATGAAATTCTAAGGCATACTTGCCACATTGTCAAGTGTATGGATTAGATTCATAACATAAACTGATACAAAACATCAATCAGTGCAGAGTGCTGAATAAATATATAAGGTCATTCAACAACATTCAGGTAAAACATAAACGCCTAGAATATATTCCTTCATTGAATGGGATAATTGCTTCTTAAAATTAATATTGTTGGTGAGAGAGACAAAAACATTACATGGAAATAGCCAAGCAAACGGGACGGACAGATATTTTTCTCTGTCAGTAAGTAGACCTACCTATAGAGACCTATGCCTAAGGCCAAAAACATGAGCAATATGAAGGAGGTGGGTAATAAAAGCCAGAGGTATGCAAACTACTTGTTGTAAATGTGCTAGAAAGATTCCATGTATATAGTAATGCTATATTTTTAAGTTATAGAAATCAGATGTATTATTATTTTATTAGTTGTCCTTATATACAAAGTAAATGTTAAAATCCATCTCTTTCACAGTGCAATTTACAATTATATAAGAAACAAAAAAAAATCTACCAGTTTATGTTGAGAATGTGTGAGCAAACTCCATGCAAATATTGTCCTGGCAAAATTTGAACCACAAATCTCAGTCCAGAAAGGAAGTGTTTATAGATGTGCTAGAAAGCAGTGAATATTTTGTGTTAATATACAGTATATGACTTATAATTAGGGATGCACAGATACTTTTCGAGTACCAGTGCAGATACTTGGCATTTTCATGAGAACTACCAGGGTTGCAGCGGTTGCAGCTGGGACCTGGCTCTGGCTCTCCACCACTGTCCTGAAATCATTGCTCTGTATTGTTTTAGAAAAACTGTCACATGACAATAAACAAAAATGTATCAGTACTTGTAAGTACTCGGCAAGTACCAGTACTCGTACTCGCAAAACTGGTATCTGTGCATCCCTTTATTTATATTTATAAAAACAAAATCATTCATTAAAACAGAGATGTACAAATCCCAGGGGCTCCGTGTGCTCCTTACAAATGACAGCTGCCTCCTACTCCTAATTTTTGCATTTTTCTCTAGTCTAGTCTTGGAGCTCAAAAGTATCGGTACATGTACTCGTACTTGTACCGAGTACTGTACTTGGTATCTGTGCAACCCTACTTATAATCAATCACATATCAAAAAGTTGTATGTTTAGAAGCTGGTCACACATTCTCCATTCTTTACTATAAGAACACATATAAGGTAAATACATTAAGATAACTAGATGTGCTGTAGCTTCTGTACTATACCAAAGTGAAGCAAAGGACGTAAAAACACATAGAAAAATACAAGGGTATCCGGTTATGGAGTTTGCTATTTCACATTCTCGGGAAATGCTGGCTTTGGGCCTAAGCATTAGGTGCAATGTTACACCACGGAGTGAGTAAAAACATCATATGTGAGACACATTAACATGACTAAATGACATGTCAAGTATACTTGGCTTCCCATCAAACCTGAACATTCTGTCCTGAAATATTGAGCCAGAACTGTGTGAATGGATTCTATTAACTGCAGCAGCCCCAAACTCCAAAACATACAAGCTTTAAACTATTAAAAATGATATAACTCGTAAGACAATCCACTATCAGCAAACATTTACAGCAGGGGGTCTTTGAGATAATTGGTTCATAAAAGTATGTGTATCACCATTGCTCTCAGCTGTACTATACTGTCCTAAAGGGACAAGTTCACTGAGCGTCTTGCAATATGTTTTTTAACAAGTCCATAGGGTCAGTTGCATAGGCATGGCCAGTACTGAAGATTTTAGCCCAGTGCAGGTAACCACTGGGGGTGGCCATTTTTGTCATGCTGAGCTAAGCAAGCAGCTAGGTTTCCGGGTTAGTTTAGGTTAGGGGAACAAGGAAGTGTGACTAATGTGTTTTTTTAAAAGTGAAGTTGTCCTTTAAGGGCACCCAAATGCAAACAGATCCCAGAGGACACAAACAGGGTGGGGATCAGCCCATTTGGATTCCCCCAGTTTTTCAAAACCCCATTTTACTTCTTCTTATGACCCCCTGTCTGCCAAGCAACTGTGACAAATACTTTCCCCCTAAACCTACCAAATTAATGAACTGGAGCAGTGTGAAACAACTTACCTTGGTGGCTGCATGGCCCAGACTACTCAAACTCCCCCAAGCTGACTACATGAATTCATTAGGACCTCTTCTCTATTCCCTACTTATGCACTCCATCCACTCGAAATTAATTGTGGTTTTGTAAATATTTATACTTTTCCTACAGTCACGGCTAAATGAAAGCAAAGCAAAAAAATGTTTTTATAAAAGCTTTGGCTTGTATTCACATTGCAAGGGCTCTGTGTACTTTTTTGGGGACTCATCCTTTATCAGAACAGTCCTGTCCAAAGTTTCAGTTCGGGCTTGTTCACACCAAATGCAGACCAGATCTGCATGAGTTTCTGCACACGCAGTGCAGTGGGTTGTCCTGCTTTTTTTTGCCGCGTTTTTGATGCGTTCCGTTTCTGGTAAAGTTTAAAATGGGCTTTCAGTGCGTTCCAGGGCGTTTGCATGCGTTCCAGAGCGCTCCAGAGCACGTAAAATAGGACATGGTGCAGTTTTTTTACATGCTCTGGAACTGAACGCTGCGGTGTGAACTAGAGCCCAAAATACCATTGGAATACATTGGCTGCAGTTTTGATCCGGTCTGTTACTACTCTGCTCCTGAATGCCATTGGTGTGAACAAGGCCTCAGGCAAATTGTGCCTTAGAGCAAGCATTTCTGCTGTGCTTTCTTTTTGGCTAACCAACGGTGCTCTGGGAAACCTTTGT